TCTTCATATTGAATTAAAAAATAATTTCATCTGTTTCATTTTACTTTTTATAATATGGCTACTAGACAATGTTAAATTACATTCTGTGACTTGCAGTACCTTTCATAGGACAGCACCAGTTTAGAGAGTATCCACAGATAATTAAGCCAGAATGGCCTGTAACGTAAAGATTGCTTAGTCTTTCAACTTACTTTTCAACCTATTACAATCTAGCTTTTTCTCCCATGGTTTTACTAAAAATTACTTTCTCAGAAGTCTTTCAGACTTTGGTTATTTGCTATATTCAGTAGCTTTTTCTTAGTCCTCATTCTTTCCCTCATCCCATTTGATGATCCTCTCCTTCCTTCCTTACTACAACACGATGCCTGTTCTTTGCCTCCCTCTCAGACTGCTATTTCTGAGTGCCTTCATCACTCTTGTTGTCTCTCATTAGATGTGGTTATCAGCCAAAACTCATCTTGGCCACTTCTCTTCTGCCATATTCTCTTCCTCTTGTTTACTTCCATGGTTTTAGTCTTGCCTCTGTGCCCTTGCTTTCCGTAGCAGTATCCTCAGCCTTATATTCTCTCCAGACTGAATTTCCAACTGTTCTGGGTGGTTCTGCGGGCACCTCAGATTCTGGGTCTGAGAATCAAAATTGAACCAGTTGTCCTCTCTTGCTGACCTGACTATATTAGTCAGTGAATGACATAAGCACCTTATTGTTCCTGCTCCTATACAGCAACAGTCACAATGGGCTGTGGATTTTGCCACTGTAATGTGTAAAGTTTCTTCTGTGTTTTTTCATTCCATGCTTCATCATATCCCTCACTCATGCTCTCCCTTTCGAGACTTTAAAAATAGGATAAAGGCACATTCTTCAGAGACATTCTTGTATTTGATGATACTTTGCATGTGTCATGCTATATATTGGCTCACCTGTATGTATTCTTTGGCATGTGACATTTTCATTTCCTGGAATGTCCTCTTGCCCTCCCCTGTGGTCTGACTTCTTCCAGTTCTTCCAGAATGGCTCAGAAAGCCCTGATTCTTGTCCGTCCACCCTCTTTGTGCCTGCCACCACTTTTGTCCCTTTCACCTTTGTGCTGTTCTCCAGTGTGCAGTCCCTCCACTAGTAGCTTGTCCTTGCCTTGGGTGGGGTCTTTCCTCTCCCTGGAATGCTCCCTGCCTACCCCACCCCCCAAAGTATTCTGCCATGACATTCCTTCTTAGCATTGCTTTCTCCCCAAATACTGTCTTAGAGAAACCTTCCCCAACTATTCTGAATATAACATGCATATGCACACAAACACACACAACAGGCACTGTCATCCATTACCCTACTCTGAGTTCTCCTTGGTGCTTAAAACTACCTGAGGTATTATTATTTATTCATATTTGTTTGTCTCCATTAGAATGTAAGGTTCCAAAAGAACAGGGAACTCACGTCTTATTTTCTGTTATTTTTCCAGTATGCAGTCTATAAATTTTTTTTTTTAATAAATATCAAAATCCTTTTTATCCTTCAGGGTCTGCTCACTTACCTCCTGTGTAATTCTCCAAGGCTGAATTATTCCCTCTTATTTATTTGTTATACCTGAGCACTTTGTCTATGACAGCACTTAAAATGCACAGCAGAGTTAGTCAAGCCTGATATAGGTGCTTCTGTTTTCTCTTCTGATGGTGATCTCTCTGTCAGTAGGGACTTGTTATCACTCATATTTACAGTGCCTCCACTCCTGACACAAAATAGACACCCTTCAAATTGTTTTTTATACTTAGTTATGTTTTTTCCTTTCTTTCAAACAGCAAATAACGTGTGCCTCCCATGTGCTGGCATGGATCCTGGTGCTATCACAGTGACCAGTATGGTGGCTCATGGACCTTTAGATTCTCCCCATCCTCTGTTTCTGAATCCAGACTTTGAATAATCTACAAGTATTTTCTGATAAGGGCAGAATGGATGGTTGGGTCAACATTGAACCCCTTTAAAAAGGGACTGTCTACACTTCAACTTCTTTTTTCATATTGCAGCTCTTCACTGTTGAACATTGTTAGAATCTGCTTCACTGCCCTCCTGGGTCTTCCCAGCAAGTTGACACCAGGAAAAGAAGAATGAGGAAAAAGTATACAAAGATACTTTTGTGAGAGAGAGCATGGCAAGTAGGAGAGACTGAACAGTGTCCATTGAGACTCACTGTCCCTGGGCCAAGGGCAGCAAGTTTATAATGAGGCTGGAGAGCTAGGCAGGAGCTCAAATTAGCAGCTTCCAAATACATTTGGAAGTTAAGAGTAATGGGAAGCTACTGAAGGGTTTAGGCAGGGGGGTGACCGATCAGATTTATATAGTGCAAAAGCTCCTTCTGGCTAAGTATGGGCAAAATAGATCCTAGCAAACCATTTAGGGTCTGTTGCAATTAAGCAAAAACTGATGGTAGCTTGAATGATTGTTTTCTAGTTGGAGAGAAATAAGTAAAGTTTAGAAGTGCTTACATTTATGATTTAAAATCAGTAGGATATGGTGACACATTAGTTAAATGAGGAGAAAGTGGGGAGAGAGGAATGACCAAGGTGATTCTTAGTGCTTTCTTCTGCCCTGCTGGGTGAGGATGGCATTCCCTGGGGTGTAATGACCATTGACATACAGGAAATCTGATTTGGGAGGGAAAATAGGAGTCTGGTTTGGGCATGTTGAATTCGAGATAGCCTTGAGACATCAAAGGAGAGAGATTAGGTAAGCAGTTGGTTGAAGAGTCTGAGCCAGAGATAAAATCTGTGACTCCTAATGTATAGGTGATAATTAAGCCTTGGGTACAGATACCTTGTGTGAAGTGAGAGTGTGGAATGAAAAGAGCAAAAAGCCTCAAGATCAAGCTGTGAGAAACCCACCATTTAGTGGGCCAGTTAAAGGAAGATGAGGAGACACACACAACAGCCAGAGTATTAGGAGGAAGACCAGGGTAGTGTTTGTTCTGGAAGCCAAGAGAAAAAGAGTTTGTAAACAAGGAAGGAGTGGCGGCAACGCCAAGCATTGCTAAGGTGGTAGTCCAGAAAGCATGGAAATATGTCGCTAGATTTTAGTGACCTGTGGTAGAGGAATGAGGACACACAAGCCCAGTGGAGTGGTTGAATATGCATGGAAGGAAAGGAAATGTTAACATTCATTGTAAAACTCTGGAGAACCACAGTGTGATGGAGAAGACAGAAAAATACAATTAGCTAAATAGTGGGATAAGTTTGCTATGTATAAGATGTTGTGGTATAGAGAGGGGTCAGGCATCCAACCCTCCCTGGAAGACCAGAGGGGGCATCAGAAAAGGCTTTATTGAGGAATCAGTGCTTTGTTGAAAGCCACCATGCATGGAGTGAATGACGAAACTGAATTTGTCCGGGAGAGAGCTTCCTGAGAAAAGGCAATACATAATGCAAAAGCATAAGATGTGGGAGTGCACATCTTGTTTAGGGATTACAGCTTGTTGGATTTGGAACACAGATTGCCTACAGAATAGTGGCAGGAGGTTAATCTTAGAGAGGAAGCAGAAGCTGGGTTATAAAACACTTGGGGTGCTACAGTGAGGTATTTATACTTTATTAGTACTGGTGCTTCTCAATTTATCTTTGGAAATTTTCTTAATGGCAGAAGACAGTAAGTGTAGACTTTCTGAAGCAACACAAACTTTCAAGTGCCATTTCAAAAGTTCTAATGAATTTTATATTCTAGTCCATAATATATCTGTTTTACTTTTTATGTAAAAGTGTCTTAGGTTATTTTCATTTGGGTTAAAAAAAAAAAATGACTCCAGGAATATGAACCTTATTGATTTTGTGGCCTTGGGTAGTTCTCTCTCACCCATGGTCAAATACATCCCATTTGAGAGTGTGTCCATTGGTGAGGACTAGCATCAGTATCATGATCAGACTTACATTATGGTGAGATCGTTGTACAGTGAAGGATGGATTGAAGGTGGGGGCAGTTAGAGGCAGGAGGGTAGTAGTCCAGGTAAGAAATAATGAAAGCCCAAACTTTAAGCAGTGGGTTTTTTGCAATTTAAGAAATAGCATTGGCATGCCAGTGACTTCACTAAGGGTGAGACATGGTTGAAAATGAAGGAGATGAAGTACTGTAGGATGATTCCCTAGTTGCTGAGCTGGGCATTGAGACTGGGAGTACAGAAGGGGAGGCATGGGTTTAGTGGGGTTTGAAGGAAGAACCTGTTCTTGAGGTGTTTACTGAACTGATGGCCTTTGCTCAGTAGTGGGCGCTGAAGGTGTGGCCCATTTCAGCCAAATGACAAGATCGATTTTAATTGGACCTATGAGTCGGCAAGGGGCTTAGGGTAGAAGGTAGATAGAGGTCATCAGCAGGTAAGTGGTAGCTGAAGCCTTGATAGTAGATGAGATTGCTGAAAGATAGAGGGCCAGTAGGCAAGAGATCTGGGGCAACATCAATATTTAAAAGGAAAGAAGGGAAAAAAATCCTAAGAAAACAGTGAGGGATCTATTGAGGAGGAAAATGTCCAAGAGGGCATATAAGGATGGTTGCCAGTAGTACATTATATAGCAATCAGTGTGTATAGAATGGTGCCTAAAAGACATCCATTGATTTGGTGGGTCTTTGATTATTAAAGATTTTATGATCTTAGGACAGATCTAGGAGAGGGGGCAAAATCCAGAATCAACTGCATTGAGAAGTGAGGGAATAGCAATAAGTATGTTGGCTAGAAAGAAATGCAGAGTCATAGGGGATTCCTTTATGAGTAGCTTGGTCTTGTTTTTAAAATAGGGGTAGATGCACATTTATGGTCTGAGCAGGAGCCAGTATAAAGAAAGAGATTGTACAAGGCCTGTTGCCTTACACATCGTAAGTACATTGTAAAAATATTTGCTTAATGAATGACTGCTTGTTGTTAAATTTGTCAATCTCAGTTTCACAGTTGAAATGTGTATGTTTTATGCACTACTTGCTCTTTCTATTCAGTCATGGTTTCATTAATTTGGAGAGTGGGATGTTATGTTTTTAGCCTCAGAATATTCTGCTGACAAGTGAATCTCCACTGGGTGACATTAAGATAGTTGATTTTGGTCTCTCAAGAATAATGAAGAACAGTGAAGAGCTCCGAGAAATTATGGGTACTCCTGAATATGTGGGTAAGTATTCATAAGACTGGGTTGTGTTGTGTGTTTGGGGTCAGGCATCATCTTCATTAGCAAATTCACATGTGGCATGATTAATAGTGGGGCCAGCCATCTGCTATGTTAAAATTCTGCCATCAGAGATTCCTTCCTTTGTATTAAATGTAAAAATGGTAAACTTTAAGGTACCAAACTGATGATCCCTTTCCCGAAAGGCTAACAGAATTTGAAGGTATTACTTCTAAAAAGAATAGAAGAGGATTTTCTTCACAAAGTGTAGGATATCATATTATCTGAAAGTGGGAAGATATTTAACAAGTATTTAACAAGCCTTTAAAGAATTTCAAGTTCATAGTAAACATTGTTAAAGTAATTGCAAGCCCTGCAATTCCATAGATGTGTGAAACAGAGGGTATTTTGTTGGATTGATACAAGGTTGAGAGCCTCTGCCAGAAAGAAAAAGGAGATTAAACTGTGAAGGTACTAGTAAGAGAGCAGCTGAAGTGATGAACTGTGGCTCTTACATTTGGTACAAAAATAAATAAACTATGACCTTTTTGATAAACTGGAAGAAAAATAGGATGCAAAAGAATAGTGGTTTGAATGAGTAACAACAACAACAAAAAAGATATCTGTAAGCAGAGCAAGGCAGTGAAATAATCTAAAGGTTGTGACCAGAGATTTTAATATCAACATTTAAAATTTCAGAGATGAAACAGCCCTTTGTAATTTTAAGGCCTTGGATGTAGCTGTGGAAGGGCAGCTCTTTAGACCTGTAGGTCAAGAAGCATGGATATACTGGTGGCTGCATGGGTCATGAACACGAGTGTGGAAGTTGTCAGAGGTGATGGCAGGCAGGTTAAGGAGGATGGTTTTTGTGTCCGATGACAGCAAGCACCCAGGGCCCATGCCTGAAGGGAAGCATATTTACCTGATAGAAGTGTCAGGTGGGCAGACAGGCTGCATTTTACGGGGTTTGGGGTGGCCTAGGCCTCCTTTCACAGAAGAGACAGTGAAAGTCATTCTTGAAGGAGCGGAGGATAGCGGGACTTTGTTTACAGGAGAAAGTTCATTCCAAGGACACAAGGCTGGACAATAGGGTTGAGGAAAACCAAGCTGTTTGGCAATGATAGTACAAAAAAATAACTCAAAGCTTTAACATAAGTCCTGCGATTTGAGAGGCGCCTGGGTGGCTCAGTCAGTTAAGCATGTGTCTTTGGCTCAGGTCATGAACTTGTGAGATCGAGCCCTGCAGCAGGCTCTGTGCTGACAGATTCTCTGTCCCCCTCTCTCTCTCTGCCCTGCTTACACTCTCTGTCTGTCTCTCTCTCCCTCTCTCTCAAAAATAAACATAAAAAAATAAGTTCTACAATTTGAAACAGATCTTTAGTTAGGTAATAAATGATATCACAGGCAGAAAAACAACCTTGAAAATGTTGATGTATTCTTTGTGGCTAGAATACTTAAATTTCAGCAAGTGTCATGACCACAAAGTAAGGTTTAAGAATGTGGCTTAATAGGGCTTCATCTGGGAAAGAGGTAGTCCAGATATTTCGGCCAGTTTAGAGCATTATAGACTAGAATGAAGGGTTGTGAGCTGAGAATCTTATAGTAATTATTGCCCTGAATGAGTTTTGTTTTGTTTTATGCTTTCTGTTCTTTGGTAAATTCTAAATTTTCTACCAAGAGAGCTTTTTTTCCCTCCAAAAAATAGAAGTATCTTTATTATAAAAGTAATACAAATGCAATCCCAAACAACTAATCCCAATTAAATGATTCAAAAGTATATAATAGAGAAAAACAAGGGGGCCTCCCTCTTTCTTTCATGGACTTTTAGCGATGAGTGTAAGACTCCCACCTTGTTTTCTACACAGTATCACCTGCCTGGGAATGGTATGCTATCTACTGGCTGTGTATGTTACCTCAGTACTGAAATCTCTGTACCTCACATTCCTCTGTCCATAACATGGGGCCATAATAATACTGCCTTATTGGATTTGCTATACCAAGCTCTTATATCCGTGTTCAGCATATAATCACAAAAAAGGAAGCTGTTTTTATTTCCTACCCCCTCTTCCCACCATCTTTTTTTTAATGTTTCAAGTTTTTATTTAAATTCTAGTTAGTTAACATACTAATAATCTTAGTTTCAGGAGTAGAATTTAGTGATTCATCACTTGTATACAACACCCAGTGCTCATCACAAGTGCCCTCCTTAATGCCTATCAGCCTTTTAGCTCATCCCCCGCCCCCGGCTCCCTGCCCACCTCCCATCCAGCAACCCTCAGTTTGTTCTCTGTAGTTAAGAGTCTCTTTTATGGTTTGCCTCCCTCTGTTTTTATCTTATTTTATTTTTCCTTCCCTTCCCCTATGTTCATCTGTTTTGTTTCTTAAATTCCACAAATGAGTGAAATCATATGGTCTTCCCACCATCTTTTGCTCTATGGTCTCTTATTTTACTTTTTCCCCTCCAGTAATTTGGATGCTATGCATTTCATTTTAAATTTCCTAGTAGTTTCTTTTAAAACTTTTAAATTTGAACTATTAAAAATTGTTTTACTGATAAAGTAAAACTTTTAAATAATACTTGTAGCTTCTGTTTCACAAGTCAGTTTCAGAAGTAGAAGTTGAGGAAATTTAACCTACTTAACATTTTCTCCCAACCTGTCATTCCTCATATTCAGGGGACGAGGGGAGAAGGTTGTCCTCAACCAGTAATGAATATGTGACTTGAGTGTTTTGTCTTTTCCTAGAATTGGAACATCTTCATTCCCCCCCTTTTTTAAATCATAATTACAACAGTTGTTTAGTCTTTGATCTGTTTTTAAATGGATCCAGTACTTGATTGCCTATCTTTTCTTCCTATTTGCATATTTTTGAAAAAAAATCATCTTTTGGTTGACTGGATTGTATCAATGAGTAGGTTTTTCTTTAAAGGAGGATTTTCATAAACCTCTCCTAAGTTTTTAAACATTTGCGAATGTCTTTCTATTGCTGTGTGTGTGACAGCAGTTTAATTAAATATTATCAAAGCAAACTTGTTTTTTACAAACTCCACAGAGGCAACTTTGTTGTCTTTGTGTGTGATGCATGTCATCTGAGAATGCCCAGGGCTCTTTTTTTTTTTTTTTTTTTTTTTTTAACTTTGTTGGCTGACTTTTTGGTCAGTGGGTAGACCTTTTAAAGCTACAGCATGGAAAATAGATCAGGCATGTGGAATGAATGGGGAAGTCAGGAGGGGAAAGTACCCTGGACTAGGGTGGGAGGTAGGGAAGGAGAGTCACAGATGCATTGAGAAAGATTTGAAAGTAGTAATCTGTTAGATACAATGCATGATTATAGAGGGTATGGGAAGAAAAAGGTGTCAGTTGTCAGTTTCTATTACAGTATTTATGCATTCAGATATTTTAAAAATATTAAGACCCAACAATGGAGGGTGCAGGTGGGAAAAATAAACAAGTTAATTATATCTAGTTAGACTTTATAATAATTCAGATTAATTTACACAATATATATAATGTTAACTTATTTTAGCCCAAATCTTGAATAGTGTCTTAGAATTTCTGGTGGGTTTTTAAAAAAAAACTTTTATCTCGAAAAGCAAATTAGGAATTTTTTTCACACACCTAAACGTTTTCTTCTGTTTCTGATACTAGCTCCTGAAATTCTTAGTTATGATCCTATCAGCATGGCAACAGATATGTGGTAAGACCTATTTATGAAAAAATTGATCAAATTAGTTTCAAGAAATGAGTAAGTCACTAATTTTTCTTAAATTTTCATTCTGATTTAGGAGCATTGGAGTGTTAACATATGTCATGCTTACGGGAGTATCGCCTTTCTTAGGTGATGATAAACAAGAAACGTTCCTAAACATCTCTCAGATGAACTTAAGCTATTCTGAGGAAGAATTTGATGTTGTGTCTGAGTCTGCTATTAACTTCATTAAGACGCTTTTAGTTAAGAAACCTGAGTAAGTATTAGTTAATATTGATCTTTGTCAATTTTTGAGTGATATATGCTCTGAACAAAAGCAGGTTAAACTGAAACACAAAAGTGTAGACATTAAGCTAGATAAGACCTTGAGCTTATTATACCTATTGAAAGAAAAAGTGTCAAAACTGAGAATGTTTCGGAGCGCCTGGGTGGCTCAGTTGGTTAAGCGTCGGACTTCGGCTCATGTCACAATCTCACAGTTTGTGGGTTTGAGCCCTGCGTCAGGCTCTGTGCTGACAGCTCAGAGCCTGGAGCCTGCTTCGGATTCTGTGTCTCCCTCTCTCTCTCTGGCCCTCCCCTTCTAGTGCTCTGTCTTTCTGTCTCTCTCAAAAAATGAATAAACATTTTTAAAAAAATGAGAATGTCTCTAGAAAATGTAAGCTGCCTCTCAGTATAACAGATATCCTCTGCTGTGTTTGGTCTTCCAAAAGGACTTTTCAGAGACATTTAACTTAAAATATTTTTCATGATTGTGGGAATGGCATTGCACATAAACACCAAAACTTCCAGTCTTGGAAGTTCTTGTTAACAATAAGATTCTTGTTAACTCTTCATAACTCCCAAAATATAATGCAATAAATCTACCTTATGTTCTGATTTATTAAATTGGTTGATTTATAGATTTATTTATTCATTCACTTTTTTTTAAGATTTTTTTTTTTTTTTTTAAGTAATCTCTACACCGAATATGGGGCTTGAACTCACAACCTTGAGATCAAGAGTCTCATGCTGTACCAATTGAGCCACCCAGGCACCTCTCTTATGCTCCAGTTTATAATTGAAGTTTTAAACTACTTAAGTGTGAAATGTGTATCTTTTTATAGACATCGAGCCACAGCTGAAGAATGTCTAAAACATCCGTGGTTGACAGAGAGCAGTATTCAGGATCCTTCTTTCAAGGTGAAAGGGACATTAGAAGAAGCAAATGCACTCCAAGAAGGTGATTCTGTGCCTGAAATTAATTCAGATACTCAGAAACCAGAAACCGAGGAATCAGTTGTAACAGAGGAGTTAATTGTATTTACTTCATATACTTTAGGACAATGCAGACAGTCTGAAAAAGAGAAAATGGAGCAAAAGGCCATTTCCAAACGATTTAAATTTGAGGAACCTTTGCTACAAGAAATTCCAGGAGAATTTATCTACTGAGCAATACTTACCTTTAGAACTTTAAGATTTCTACATTGAAAACATTAATATTATTTATGGACTTCTGGCCAAATGGTACATGTACTGAAAGTGGACAAACCAGGTATCACTGATAGAAAAAAAACTAAAATTACTGTGTCAAACTTGTGGATTTAGATATGTCAAGACAGATTTATAAAGTTGCCAACCAGGAGTTTTAACGGGTAAAGTTATCTGTGTCAATGTTATTTTTAAGAAGGGAGATGTTTGAACCTTTTATTTCTAAATCCTATTTCTCCAGAATGAAAATTTGTTATGCAAAGATAATCTGTATTTACTTTCTTTAAAAATCCAAGTAAAAGTGCCAAATTAACATCTTTGTAAATCTATTTGCATTATTCTTGTGTATCTATATATGCATATATGTATTGATATCTTTACTAAAATTGATACTTTTTCACTTTGGATTTTTTTGGAGGAGTAAGATTTTAATTAGGTATCTTTCAAATTTTGAGACCTAGAATAACATCCATGATAGTTTAATAATGTCCTATTTTTATATTTTATTACTGCTTTGTATCGACTTGATTTGGCTTCTTTTTTCTTTGTTTTTGCCTAATGCTTATAACCTATCAGTGAAAAACCCTTGCTCATTTTTTTTTCTCTTCAACGTCACTAATAAGAGTGGTGTTGATTTTTCACCTCCCATTATTCTGGTTTTAAGGTCAAGGTAGGTTAAGTAATCCTGTAATATTAAACCAGCGTTGGCTTCTCGGCTGTTTCCCTCCTCACACCTTACATATTTACCCCTTTCATAAGGCTGTCCCCTGCCACCACCTCACATGCTTATCACCTAATTTTGGTCACTTGCAAGTGTCAGTGTGATCTGACATGATCAACATGATGGTTGCTTTGGTCAATGCAAAGACACTGTTGTATTGTTTTTGTTAACAAAATACCCCAGAGAGGGGTAAGACTGGAAGCATATTCATCTTGGCCATCGAATCTCTATTTCTGTTGAGTTTATTAGACCTCAGATTGTATTAGGAAAAGTTCTAAAATGCCAAAATATTTATAAACTTTTATTTTGTTCATAAAAAATTTGACATTGGATACTTTGTCATTAGGGAGGAAGCCTTGTTCCCTAAAGATTTATAAAAATATACTCAGTAGAATGTAATTTGATTGGGATTGAACACTTCAATTGTAAGTAGGCCCCACAGTGAATAGTAAATTCTTATTTAAAAACATGGAAATGTAGGGGCACATGGGTGGTTCAGTCGGCTGAGCGTCCGACTTCAGCTCAGGTCATGATCTCACAGCTTGTGGGTTCGAGCCCCGCATGGGGCTGTGTGCTGACAGCTCAGAGCCTGCTTCACATTCTGTGCCTCCCTCTCTCTCTGCCCCTCCCCCACTAGTGCCATGTCTCTCAAAAATAACACTAAAAAAATTTTTTTTAATGGAAATGTAAAAGTGTACACTGTGTAACTTGAAGCAACTAAATCTCTTTTTCACACAAAGTCTTAGTAGTGTCCTTATTTATCTTTCGCTAGGCTCAGGGTGTTAGATGCTTGTGAATGCAGTTGGTCTTTCCCGCGTGTACTTTGTGCACACGCCAGGCTTGTGCTGTGCACTGTGCCCTATACTGTGTACAATTCAGACCAGTCCCTTTGCAGGCTGCTCTTTGGAAGTCACATGATGCTCTCTTCCTAGCATGGGTTCTCAGATGTCACATCCTGACAGTGGCAGCACCTCACCACCCGTTTCAGGTGTGTGCGGAGTTCAGTGTTACACATTTACCCCATGGTCTGTAGTCACACCCAGCCCTGCTGGGCAGGTGCAGGGGCACCAGCAGATGAGATTGCTGAGGCAGTTCCATACATCAGGTTGCACTATTTTCTCATTAAATTGGCTTTATTTACACAGTTTCTAAACAAGTTCTAGAAGGAGGAAGAGGAAATTCTGCCATAGTGGCAGGGTTTTTGGTGAAAACTTCGGTTAAGCCTCAGGTAAGTCTTGGAAGAAATAAGACACAATTCGAGACAAATTTTTGTAAATATCTCTCTGACAAAAATAGGAGGGAGGTGAGAATACCCACTATTGAATGACATTTTTATATTTGATAGATTTGTCCAGTTTTAAAATCAGAATCATTCGGATAACATTTAGACTTTTTCCAAGCCATTTTATATTACATTCAAAATAAATACATTTACTACAGTTGCTGTATTTGTTTTCCTTTAGCTGACCACTTAGCTGATTGCAGTGTGCTGATATCCCTACTTGCTTTTGTACCTTGAATTCAGAGTTGTACAGTGCCTTTTTTTTAGAAGCATTTATACTTGTAAAAGTATACTGAATTTTTTGTTTTATCTGATATAAATAGAGCATGAAGAGTCTTCACAAAATTGGGCCAAATAAAAATCTTTCCATTAATGACTAACCAACTAGCTTTATACTTACCTAATACTGGTAATTTTTTCTTTTAACAAGTTTACAAAGAACTAAACAGTATTATTGAATTTAGTCATAGAATTTATAAGTCCAGTTTTAATTATAATAAAATTCACTAATAATTTAGCTTGATGAGAAGTTTGTGAAATATGCAAAATGTATATGTGGTTTTAGTCAATTGGGAAATTGTGTTTTAATGTTGTTTTGTGGTTTTCACATGAGAAGTAAGAGCAAAATGCCACTGTCCAGTGGTTGGATGCTAATTAAGAGACACCACAAACTCTTAAACTTTTACAACTGACCTCAGTTTGGAAGAAAATTTACTAGAGAAAAAGTCATAAAGGTTACTTAGAGAATGTTGGGCAAGAGGTGAATAACAGTCCGAGTAACGCAATGGGGTTGTATACAGCTCAGTTCAGGGAGGCCTAAAGCAAGATCGATCCATGGCATCAACATAGATTGTTTTACATAGGGGGAACGGTCAATATTCAGGGTACTAACAAACTAATCTTAAATATATTTTAAGCTCACACTTGTAGGAATTTGAATTGCACTGATGAAACTAAAAATAGTCAAAATCATTCAAAGTCATTTACCACCTAGTACCTTCAGGTTGTTGAATAATTTAAAAAACTAGATGAAAACTCTTAATCTTTAGGGGCCTACTCTCAACTATTGTTTTATCGTGGGAAGTGGGGATATAATTTGCAAATAAGGAAATGTGTAGATCTAAATCTACACTAGACTGCATCAGGCTTGCCATGTGTACCCTATAACCCCGCTCTTACTCTATTGTTATAGTTTGACTTATCCTCAGATTCACATGGATTGAATCATATGGAATGTGCTCTTTGCTCTTTGGTGCCTGGCTTTCCCTCAGCGTGATGTTTTTGAGATGCCTCCATGTTGGGGCTTACATCAGTAGTTTGTTCCTCTTTGTGTGTGTGTGTGTGTGTGTGTGTGTGTGTTTATTTTGAGAAAGGGAGAGCATGAGCAGGAGATGAGCAGAGGGAGAATCCCAAGCAGGCTCCGCGCTGTCAGTGCAGAGCCCAATGTGGGGCTCAAACTCATGAACCATGAAATCATGACCTGAGCTGAAATCTAGAGTCAGACACTCAACCGACTGAGTCACCCAGGTGCCATAGTAATTTGTTTTTTCTATTGCAGTGTCATACTCTGAATATACCACAGTTTATGTGTCCACACCTCTGTTCATGGATCCCTCAGCTGTTTCAGGTTTTGGTTATTCTGAATAAAGATGCTTTCTATATTCTTGTCCAAGAATTTTTGTGGACACATTGTCATTTATCCCCAGTTAAATAGGCATAGGATGCTAGGTCATAGGATAGATGGTGACTGAAGTTTTTAAGAAGCTGAAGAATGGCCTCCCCAGGTGATTGCCCCATTTTCCATTCCTGTCAGCAATACCTGAGTCCTGGCTGCTTCACCTTCTTGCCAGGATCTAGTGTTGGCCATCATCTTCATTTTAGCCATCTTTGTGGGTGGGCAGTGGTATCGCCCACTGGCTAAATTTGCATTTCTCTGGTGACTAATGAGGAACACTACTTCATGTGCTTATTGAACCATTCTTTTGTCCTTTTTTCACCTTTTTAATTTAACAGTTGTGATAGTCCTTTATATATTCTGGATACAAGTCATTTGTCAGATTTATGTATTAAATATTTTTTTCCCACTCTGGCTTATCCATTTTCTCAACAATGCCTTTTCAGAAGACGGTGGTTTTCATTTCGATGAAGTCCAGTTATCACTTTTTGCTTTATGGCTAATACTTTCTGTATCCTCTCTAAGAAGTCCTTACCCCAAAGTCATGAAGATACTTTTTTTTTTTTTTTTAAACTTTAATAGGGCTATTACGTTAGGTCTGTGATTCACTTTGAACTACACTTGTGTGTGGGGACAGAGGCTTTTAGGTAGGTGTCAAGTATCTTTGAATATTCAATCATTCCAGCACCATTTGTCAGAGATTTTCCTTCCCCATTGAATTGTTGCACTGTCCTTATCTAAGGTCATTTCTGTGGATCTACTTCTGGATGCTCTTCCTTTCCATTAATCTATTTGCTTATACTTTTGTCAGAACTTTGTCTTGATGTCAAAATAGGACTTCCAATTCCTTCTTTTTCAAAACTGCTGTTGATTCCAGGTCCTTTGCAGTTCCAAATAAATTTTAGAGTTGGCTTGGCAATTTCTACCAAAATTACTCCCCCCTCCCCCCACCACCAAAAAAAAAGCCTCATAGGATTTTGACTGACATTGATTAAATCTGTTGATCAATTTGATATTTTAACAGAATCTTCCACTCCATAAGCACAGTATATGTTTCCGTTTACAGTAAAACCATGGTTTTTGAGCATTATTCATTCTGGAAACATGCTTGTAATCCAAAGCACTTATATATCAAGAGAATTTCAAGAACCATTGGCTCGGTTGTGATCATGTGACTTTTGGTGTCACGTGCTACTTGTATTGCAAGATATCGCTTGTTTATCAAGTTAAAATTTATTAGAAATGTTTACTGGTCTTGTAGAACACTCAGAACAGGTTACTATATTTCATTTTAATTTTTCTCAGCATTGTTTTGTATTTTTTAACATAGAGATCTTGCACATCCTTTAGCTCTGTATATTTTGTTGCTTGATGCTATGGTTTTGGACTCTGCTTTTACCTTTTTTGTGTTTTTGATACTTTATCTTCCAGTGGTCATTTTTTAACTCCTTGTGCTTAGACCTATGTTAGAACTTATTTAAATAACAATGAGTCTACCTCCTGACTGCTAGGGAAGGGCTTTTACCTATGGATTGTACTCTGGCTTCATTTCCTTCCTTTCTCTCATTTACATTTACCTATGTTTATTCATTTTACCTTTGGCTACATTTTAGCTCGGGTCCATAACTCAATTTTTAAAAATTAGTTGTGTGTAACTTGGTTATGTATGGATTTTTTTTTTAATAACTGGAGAATGAGTAACCTGAGCTCAGGCTAGTGCAGAGGTTAGCATTCTATGGCCCTTGTTGCCTGTTTGTTAAATGAGGTTTTATTGGAACACAGCTTGACCATTCATTTATGTTTGGCTGTGGCTGCTTTCATACTAAAGCTGTAGGGTTGAGCAGTTTCAACAGAGATCTTAGGGCCTAAAATAGTTACTATCAGGCCCTTTAAGAAAAAGTTTGCCAACTCCCAGGCTGTTGTAACCTAAATGTATTTGAAATATGGGATATTTCCTATTTAAAGCCAATATTGATACAGTCCTTCAGAAGCCAGTTTCTTTCACGTGGCAGAATAATCTTACAACTTTGGTTGCATTCCTTCTTATGCATTTTATTAAAATACGGGTTTTACTTACTAAAACTAAACTAGTTTTCCTAAATACGTTAACAGTAGTAACTTTTTTCTTCTTTAACTTTATTTATTTTGAGAGAGAGGGGGGCAGAGAGAGCGGGGTAGAGAGAATCCC